CTCTCTTATTTCTAAAAATATGACCAAAAGCATGATTTCAAGCTAGTTTCTAAGTGTTAAAGGTTGCTTTTAGTATTAATTTTAAGCATGTGAAGGTTGTGTTGTTGGAAAGCAAACCAGGACCGAGTTTAAGAAAACCGCATATAAGAAAGCAAAATAATCTCTTGTTGTCGACTCAGATGTGTGCGGACCTTTTGATGTGGAGTCAATTGAAGGTAACAAATATTTCTTATTTTTCGTGGATGAGTGGACTAGAAAGATTTGGATCTATTTGATTAAAGAAAAGAAGATTCTATACTCATGCTTTGTGAAATTTTGTGCTATGGTGGAGAGGCAATCTGGTTTGCAAGTTAAGACCTTCAGGACAGACTGTGGAGGAGAGTTCAACTCACGCGAGATGAACAAATTATGTGATGATAAAGGAATCGTGCATGAGGTGGTAGCACCGTATACACCCCAACACAATGGTCTCGCTGAAAGGAGGAACATGGTGCTGCTTGACATGACCAGGTGCGTGATCAAAGCCAAGAAGCTTCCACACTACTAATGGGGAGAAGCTGCTTCCACAACAGCCTATTTGCTGAATAAAAGCCCAACCAGATCCTTGCCGGACTACACCGCTGAAGAAGTTTGGTCAGGAATCAAGCTAGCTGCTAACAACTTGCGAACTTTTGGGTCTGTATGCTACAAGCACATTCCTAATGAGAGGAGAAAGAAGTTAGATGATAGAAGTGAGACCTTCATCCTCGTGGGGTATCACTCGACAAGAGCATATAGACTGTACAATCTAGAGAAGAAACAGGTGATTGTTAGTAGAGATGTGATAGTGGACGAAGGGGCTAAATTCGATTGGGAGAAGGCAGATGCTGAACCAGTATCCATTCCTAGTGTTTTAGAATATAGTAGCACTACTATGAAACATGTTATTGTTGATAGTGAAGGCAACAAAAGAAGATCTCAAAGAGTAAGGTTTCCTTCTACAAGACTGTCAGGACACGAGGTGCTTGCAGACAGTGATATAGCAAACTCGGGAGATTTGGCTCATCTTGCGTTTCTGGCAGATGCAGAACCTATTACTTGGAGACAAGCTATTGATGTGAAGAAGTGGAAAGAAGCCATGATTGAAGAACTAAAGGCCATTGAAAAGAACAGAACTTGGGAAATGGTAGAGCTACCTCAACACAAGAAAGCAATTGAGGTAAAATGGGTCTTCAAGATCAAGTACAAGTCGAATGGTGAAATAGCAAAGCTAAAGCCTAGACTTGTTGTGAAGGGGTTTTTGCAGAAACTGAGAATTTACTATACAGATGTCTTTGCACCAATTGCAAGGCTTGAGACAGTGAGACTTGTGATAGCAGTAGCTAGCTTCAATAACTGGACACTTCAACAATTGGATGTGAAATCAGCGTTCTTAAATGGCCCTTTCGAGGAAGAGGTATATGTAAGACAAAAAGAGAGGTGAAGAGAAAAAGGTGTATAGGCTGAACAAAGCGTTGTACGGGCTCAAGCAAACACCACGGGCTTGGAACAACCATATTAATGCATTACTCCTCAGGTTGGGATTTCAGAAGTGTTCTGTTGAATTTGGTGTATACATGAGGATTGGTGGGCTGCAGAACAAGTTGTTGATTTGCCTATACGTGGATGATCTCCTTGTGACTGGAGATTCTTAAAACTAAATTGAAGGGTTCAAGAAGAGAATGAAGGACGAATATGATATGACCGACCTAGGCAAACTGAACTACTTTCTCGGGTTGGAATTTATTGAAACAGTGAGTGGAGTTGTTTTGCATCAAGGAAGGTATATCAATGAAGTTTTGAAGCGTTTTAATATGAAAGACTACAACAATGTACCAACTCCTGTCATTGCAAACTTGAAGCTAGCGGAACAACTTGATGAAGAGCGTGTGGATGCCTCATTGTGCAACAGCAAGCCTGATATAAGCTATGGTGTTGGTTTGTTGAGTAGGTTCATGAATGAACCTAGGACGTCACACATGATAGCTGCTAAACACATCTTGAGATACTTGAAGGGGACAACTGATTTTGGTCTTCTGTTTCCAAAAGTATCAAGAAGCATGGAGGATATCTTGGAGGTCTGGAGTGACTCGGATTGGAGTGGAGATAGAGTTGATAGAAGAAACACTTTTGGTTACTTCATTCAATATGAAGGAGCACCTATCTCTCGGTGTTCCAAAAAGCAAATTGTAGTAGCATTGTCATCCTGTGAAGCAGAATACATAGCTTCTGCAGAAACAGCCTGTCAGTGTGTTTAGCTGGAAGCACTTCTTGGAGATTTGAAGCTTGGTTGTAGAAGGCCTATACAACTGATGGTAGATAACAAGTCTGCCATAAGCTTGTCTAAGAATCCGGTGTTTCATGGGAGAAGCAAACACATGGAGACAAAGTTTCACTTCTTGAGGGACTTGGTTAATCAAGGAAGAATCAAATTACTACATTGTTCAACTGAGTACAAATTGCTGACATCTTTACCAAGGCTCTTAAACAAAGTAGATTTAAGAAACTGAGAAATTTGTTGAATGTAAAATCTTCTAGTAGTTTGGTTTAGAGGGGAGTGTTGTTGTAAAACTCAAACTACTCTAACTGTCACTATGACAGTTAGGTCATTTGTACTACTACAAATACTGATATTCCATTCTATTCAAATAATAATGAGAACTTCGTTTCTCTCACATATGTTGTCATTCTCTCTTAGTGCTAGTTGTTCTGCAAATACATATTTCTCTACATTATACATCCGCTACACTAACAAGAAATTTATCAAAATATAAAAACAGAGACTCAAGACCTTGATTCTAGTTAGTGCCGACAATGGTGAACGAGTATGAACAAAGATGATCTCGATAAGGGTTTGGTGAATGCCAAAGAAAGTGGTTTGATGCTTCTTATGCTCGCATGAAAGAAAACAGAATGAAAGAGTTGAAAGGAGAAGACGGAGACCCATGTGTTAGTATGGTGTTGATTTTCTCTTTTCAAATAAACTTTCTATGTTTGATCTAGAAATAGAAAGGAAAAATTATCTATATCGCTTGTATATATTCCAATTATAACATTTCTTTTTTAATATAAATAGGCTTCTCTAACTAGAGATCATATGAATTAAATTGATGTTTAATGGTAATGATCTTTCAAAATCGTGTTCGTATTCTAAATCCTAAAAAAATATCAAGCTAAAGCATAGACTCATCATTCCATTCATGATACACTTTTGTAGTATGTTTCAATGAATTCTTTAGTTGGCAAGAAAATTTCCATTATTTGCAAGTTGAGGAAGACAACTTCAATTTTCTTTTATCTAGTACGTATAAGTATTATATTGAAACTACCGTATTTAAGTAAAATTAAGAAGGATAATGATACTTTGACAACATTTTTTTACAACATTTTAACATTCTTTTTATGATTGGTCCATGTTGATGTTTATGATTATTATTATTATTGATTGTGGAGTAATTTTGGACCAATCACAGAATGACATGTAAATGATATTAAAATGTTGTAAAAAAATGTTGTTAAAGTATCATTATCCAATTAAGAATCTATATATATATATATATATATATATATATATATATATATTTTCAATGTGAAAATTAAATTCAATATTTTTCTTTGTTAAATTTTCTGTTTTGGTCACCATAGGTAAAATGAAAATATTTTTTTAAATGGCATGACACCCAATTAGCTCTAAAAATGTTTATGAAGAAATCTGTTGTAACGAACAATAACCAAAGCGTAATAACATTATTATTAATTATGTAATAATACAACCTAATCTTTTATGACTTTGAAATTATAGTGCAATAACAAAACATTCACTTAAACATAAATGGAAACTTGTTTGTCTTAACACTGTTTAACTCACAAAAATTATTTAAAATTAAGTTCTTTGTTTTACCTTTTTTTAATGCAAATTTACAGTAATATAACATCAAGAACGTGTAAACTTTACGAACCAATTCCCTTATGCATTCAGAGTTTTTACAACAATTACAAAATTTAGGCCTACGTGTCCATATTCTATTGGCCGTTCATCACCTTTCTATTGAAACCTTGTCTCACACGGGAACTGTGCATGATGCAGTAGGGGCATGCAGTAGGGGCATCAAGGTATTTTCACCAGAATCGTAATCATCACATTTTCGTTCTCTCATTACGGGCGTTCACCCGCATAACAAATTTTCGCTCCAACATTACATATTTATATTTACCTCTTTCTCGCGAAACAAACAGCGAAAAGAAAATGTTCTTCAAATCCACTTTCAGCAAAAAACCAAAACCTCACTGAAGAACGCTAATGCTCCAACTCTCATCGATTCTTCTACGCGTTCTTCATTCTTTTATCAATTATTCACCGATCGTCTTCTCGGATCGTGTCGATCACCATTTTCGCGTTGTTGGTTTTCAACTCTGGACCACAGGAAGATGACGATCGAACGAGTGAGTAGTAGATTCAGTGAAAAAAAAAATGCTGAATCGCTGCATGGATCGTCGATTTTTTTATTTGGCGTGAATTATCGTGTTTCTAGCTAGTTCATTTTGAAATGCTGAAAGCGACGAGAACGAATGTTGATCAGCGTCAACGTTCTTTGGTCGCTGATTGTTTTTTATTTCGTAGAAGAAAACAACTTGAATCGTGTTTTTATTAGTTCGTTTTCAAAATTGAAATGCGAAGATTAAACGGAGTTATTTTTCCGATGCATTTAAAGCGTTTTCGAGATTTACTATTGTTCATTCGTTTTGCTGCTTCAGAAAGATCAGTGTACGAACTTAGCCTTTTGCTAATGCCTTTGTCGGTGATTCAGATTCAGTACCTTCCAGTTCATTAATTGAATCGGATGTTGCTTGATGAAGCAGCAAATCGACATTCTCTGTTCAAACACTGAGAAACCAAGCTTTTGCATTAATTTCGTTTCATGATTGGTCTATGTCCCTTACTTAATTCTTTACCATATTAAGAACTGACTGATTGATTGTTTCACATTAATCATATTAATGCACTTAGCATAATTGGTACTTTTATTTTGTTTTCTCTACAAATGATTAATTTATAAGCGTATGTGTCTGATAATTTGTTTTTTTAAGCTTTCCTTATTCTTAATTTTGTTCCGAAGTTTGTCCAAGCCTATTTGTTGATGCTTTGTTTTATTTATTATATGCGGTGAAATTAATTGTTAAATATTAGTTACTGTTAATAATGTTGTTGCTGTGTTTTGTGCAGATTGTGGAGCAAAGTCCGTGTGGTTTCGTTGCTGCTGGAACAGATGAAGATATGGTCTCTTTCTTTCTTACCCATTTCACGGTCAAAAAGTATAACACGCGCGCGCATTTTTCTGTTAAATATATACTCATATAAGTCTTTTTCCCTAGTTACGCGATCCTTATGGGATCCTGTGTGCTTAACGAACAATATCGCCGCATGCACGCACGCAATGCAGCGTTGATAAAGATAAATGATTACATTTTTTTTTTCACGCACGTACATTTTCTCTCTCCTGCAAATATTTAGTATTTTATCATGACAACATTGATAATTGTTTGTCTGCGTAACGTGAAATAAAGATTGGTTAGAATTATTTATGTAATAATTTCTCATTATAAAGAAGAACACTTAAATTTATTCTGTTATTATTTGACATTTATGATTATATATTACATGGTTCTTGTGGATTTTAGACATTATAGTTTATTATTTATATGGTTTTGTAGAGGAGTTCGCACTTGAAGAGGCAGGAAAAAAGCGATGCCCACGTCGACGAAGATAGAAGCAAAAAGAGCCCATGTTTGGACAAACATGTTCTGCTGTTTCCACCTGCCTCTGAATCAACTAGCGCTATAGGTAACACCCTTTTTCGGTACAAATAGGTAACTGGCATTTGTGTGGGCCTATTTTAAACCTTTTGGTAAGTCTTAAATTGGAAAGGAAATATTTTTCTCTTTTAGTTTTTTGTTTTCAATAGTGGTCTTCAATTTGTTATCGAAGATAAGAAATAAATGAAACAATAATAGCGGTTGGTTTTTCCTTTTATTGGTGTATTGTTATATAAATATTTTCATCTATATATATTTTCCAAAGGCACTATAGTAAAAACTGTCGGTATTGCAGGGGCATGGGAGCATTTTAAAGTGGGTCTATTTCATGAAATTGATCACACCAGGCTCTCACCAATATCCCCAGTGCAACTAAAATCTGTTCGCATTGTAATGGTATTACTATTACTATATTACTATATACGTGTATAAAAAGAGATTTCCTTTTCAACATTGAATTGAAATTCAAAAACATTCTTTTTGGTTGAACGGATAATGCGTGCATTCATTAGGTCAGTGACATAGGGGTGCACCTGGTGTCGCTAAGGTACCCAAGCCTCCAATCACTTCGCATGCACTTCAGCGACCAAAACTTTGGGAAACAAGACGGGAAGACGATCCCTGCGCTCGACGAGAAATACGTGATGGGGATGGACTTCGCCATCAAAGCGCTTTCCAGAAGCATCCCAACTGAGGAATTTGCACAAAGAAGAAACTCTTGGAGCTTCTGGGTCTCTCCTTCTAAAGAAAACACCCAAGACGCCGAGAATCCAGCTCTCACTGACGCCGCAAGGAGCCTCATTTCCAAGCAGGGTTCTTGCTGGACTCAGCTCAAGTCCACAGGGATGATGCAGTGGGGAAAACGCCGGCAAGTTCGGTTCTTGGGCCGCCATGAAGAGGCAAAGGTTCAATCTTTACCGGAACCACGTAAGGGAAAGATGGCCAGCGTTGAACTCAGAGAAGGAACTAGTGAGAAGAAAAGGAAGAAAGGCGAAGAGGAAATGGAGGCTACCAAGGAAGAGTCTTTCGGGGATATGAGGATGACGCGTCAATGTAGGCAAAGTCATCAAAACGTGAGTAGCAGTGGAGTTAAAAAATCTAAGAAAGCAAAGAATGATCCCAAGAAGCAACAACTCGTGCTTTACAACAAAAACAAGCGGAAAATCTCTATTGGAAGATGGTCTGCTGAGAGGTATATAATTAGTTTTAGTTTTAGTTTTATCCAAATGATAGTATTGTAAGCTTAAATCTAGTACAGTAATCAGTTCAATGTTTTCTTGCATGGCTCAATAAATATAAATTGTTTTTTGTTACCTCGCATTTGTGAAGGTATATGATGGCAGAGGAGAACATGTTAAAGGTTATGAAAGAAAAAAGAGCTGCGTATGGGAACCCAATATTGAGGCCAGATTTAAGATCAGAAGCACGAAAGTATATTGGTGATACGGGTCTGCTCGATCATTTGCTGAAGCACATGGCTGGAAAAGTGGCACCAGGAGGAGCTGAGAGATTCCGACGGCGTCACAATGCTGAGGGCGCAATGGAATACTGGTTAGAGAGTGCTGATCTTGTTGAAATGAGGAAGGAAGCAGGGGTACAAGACCCTTATTGGACTCCTTCCCCAGGATGGAAGCTTGGGGACAGCATTTCACAAGATTACGTTACTGGTAGTGAACTAAGAGAGATCAAAGAAGAAATACTCAAGCTGAAACAGTAAATCCAATTTCTTTGTCCTTTTTGGTTAAATACTTTCTAGGTTATATATTCTTCCGATTCTGAGTCATTGTTGGTTACTCATACTGATGTACAGAGATATGCGAGAGCTCGCAATGAAGAAGGGAGAGGAGGTATTGGCCATTGAGACTACTCCTAGCTCATGTTTGTCCAGTCTGAATTCGGAAGACTATGGTTCCTTAGCTCCAAAGGAGGTGAAGCACAGTAGTAGTAATAGGGTTATAACTAAGCTAATGTGAATAGAAATTGGACTAGTTTTAGTTACTTAAATGCTATATTGCAGGAGATTTATGCGGAGTTGGTGAGTAAGAAGGCTAAAATAGAGGAACAATTGAAGGAAATTTCAGTGACTCTGAGTTGTATGGAGGTAATGTAATCATTATCCTTATCATCTTATTGAAGAGTTTGATAGCAAGGAATGTCGCTAATGATTGGTTTCTTTTCCTCAAAATCTACCGTTTTAAATATCATCATAGATAGACAACAAAAGTGTACAGAATCATGATTGTTAGTTTGTTATTATTTTTTCCGCTTCCTTTTCACCAGGATTAATTATTGAGAAATGACAACCAATGAATTACTGGCTAGATAAAAGGGAGTAAAACATTGAGAAGTGATAAATGATGGAATCCATTATGCAGGAGAAACTTAGAATGCTAAAACCAACAATGGTGGAGGAACAAATAATGTCAGAATCGGAAACACCCCAAGCCTTTTCTCCAGGACCAACATCAGTAAACATAGGAGGGGAGATAAGGAAGGAAAAGAAAAGCTACAAGAACAAAGCAACAAACTCAGCGGATACACAGATGCAGAAAAACAACAGTGCAGCAGAGAACAAGACGGCAAAGATTGAAAGGCTGAAAAGTGGCTTTCAAATTTGCAAGCCTCAAGGAACCTTTGTGTGGCCAAATATAGGTTTGTCTCCCCATGTTGTGGCCAACCATGATGACCAAACAGTGGTCCCTACGCCACCATCAGCTTCCTCTTCTACCACCTCAGCCCCAAAGCTCATTTTCAAACCCCAGCCTCAGCACCTACCATTACAAGTCCTAACCCGTCCTTCTTCCCCAGTGAAACCACTCGCAGAGAGGCGCCCTGTGAGCACAGCTACTCTGACACATGTCACTGGCCCATTCTCCCCTCATCTTTCTCCTCCATCAGGTACTCCATTATCCAAAATCACCACCACCATCACTATTAACCTCAACGAAGCCCCTCTTACCCTAGACTAGTGCTGGTTGCATACCTTTTTATATATATATTTTAAGGAAATCACACCATTTTGAGTCTCTTGTTGGTATAAATAGATTGAGCCAAAGACTAGGCCAGTTTTCACTATATTCACATTAGTTTCGAATTGAAAACTCTTGCTGGGTTTATACTATATGTATAATTGAAGTTAGATTTTGCAGATGTGCCTTTCACGGAAACTGACTCACATTAAAATTACCAAAGTCGTTTATAATCTCTGCATAACTTTTGGAGTGATGTCTTGCATAAACTTTTCTCAGCTTTTGTACAACGGTCTCAATTATTTCTCTATTTTATTTTTTGAAAAACAAAATTTATACTTACACTGTTGTAGGTCAGCTAAATTTTAGCAAAGATTTTCTTAACTTAAACTACTAGGTTGAGAGACTTTTTTGTAACTTCTGCGAGATTTAAAATGTTTGCATTAGTTATAAAATAACGTGAATGTTTGGACACAAGCTGGAATTCAGTAAACTTTAACTACAAAATAGGTTGTTTTTTCATTGATTATGAAAAATTATAATTTTTATTACTTTTCGATAGGTATTTTTTGTTTATAGTTTGATTCATATTTTTTTTATGTAGAAGATTATTTTTTTATCATATCTAGAAGAAATTAATTAACTAAACATTATTTTCTTACTGAACTTATTCAAGTAAAAATTAATTTTTGTAGTTTACCATATTATATTCATAATTTGTTATTGAAGTAATTTAAAATTTTCAGTAATCCCAAACACTTTTGTGTCGTATTGTTATTAGGAAAAAAAAAGACAGTTCCAAGACAAAATAGAATACTGCTAATTATGTTAATTAATTTTCCCATCACGATAAATTAATTGGATATTTCTCATTATACATTGAAATATGAAACATAAAAAAGCTTAAAATATAATTTTAATTAATTTCATAGATATAATTAATTTGATCGTTTCATTAAGCATTATACAAAAACATAAAGTTAGCTTTTAATAACGTCGGTCAAAATGTATTAAAATTGGATAAATCAAATTTAACACAATGTAATGTATAGATGATTAAACTAACATTTATTACAAAAATAATTTTAGTATGGATAATTTCAAGTTGATGCCATCGGTATGATAAATAAAAGTAAGGATAAATATATTTTTCTTCTACCAATTATTTTTAAAAATTGTTATTTTATAAAAGTTATGTAAAACATTTCTCCTTTTTATCACTTCATTAAAAACATCACTATTCTTTTATCATATTAAAAGAAACAATGTTATTAAAAGTTGGTTTGTAATTAAAATCCGAAATATTTCGCAATACTCAAAGTAACCAAAGTTATAAAATTGCATAACCAAATTCGATACTCATTCCTCATAATTGATCCAGAGCCATTGAAACTTTATGTCCTCAGATTCATCAAACAATTCAATAGATACAAGTTATTATTGTCCAACTTAAAAACATAAAAGACTCAATATTCTCCTACCAACTTTTAGCATGTCATTAAGCAAACTATAAGGATTTTCATAATTATCAATAAAATTTTATTGACGAAAATAAATTTGTCAGTAAACTCAATTTTATTGAGGAATTTTAGAATTTAGTTTATAAACAAAAATATCCATCAAGAATTAATTATTCAACTAGATTCGTCAGTAAATTAGAATTTGTATAACCAATGGATACTTCCATCGGTAGTGTATCTAGATCAAATATGTTGGCAAATTTTGTAATTTCTATTATTAATGGATTTTTTCATCGTTAATCTATTAGTGAAATGAGTGGGAATTTTTTCACTAAGTCAGATGATTTTTTTCGTTATATATTAAGGGAGATGAGCGAAAAGAAAAAGAGATGTGGGTGGAGAAGGAAAAAGAGGAGGAGAAGAAAAATAAGAGGGGTATGAGGCTCAACAACTACATTGGCCCTTTGGTGGCGATGGTGTAGTGGCGCCTCAACGATAGTGACGACTGTAATTGGAGGAAGAAGAAGAAAGAGAAAGAAGGAGAGGAATAAAAAGA